TTGTGAGCCATGAACTGGCTCCTTTTGTTATATTTTGGGCTGTTACAAATCCCCTGGCAGTGAGTCCCACAGGTTAACTGTGTTGCATGAAAACAGGCTGCCTCTCCTTGGTATGAAATCCACCGCCTGTTACAGGGCTTGCTGCTCTAAGTCGCTCCGGTGTACAGCGGTTCTGCACTAAAGTCGTTGACGCTTGTAGGAACTGATGGGTTATAAGTCTTCCTGTTCTCCCCTCTTAAGCCGTGGCAAAAAATCCCCCAAACCCAATTTGCTCAACTGGAAATCAGCCAGTCAGCCACAGGGCAAAAATCCCTGTTTCAAGTTATTTCATTATAAGCCCAAGTTTTCTGGAACGTATCTTGGACTTACAGGGAGGATGGCCTGTAATAGCATGGGGCAACCTCACTTTAAATGTCTCCCTAGACAGCCCCCTGCCCCAGGCCTGCTTTTCTCTCGCATCCCCCCCTTGCTCCTCTCTAAGCCGAGCGGCCCCCGGCTGAGTCTGTCCTGGCTGGAGCCGGCGGCTTTGTGCGGTGTAGTTAGTGCTGGCGGGGGAAGGTCGCTGAACGCTGGGTCCTGGCTGCTGGCTGGAAGCCGACCAGGACACGTTCCAGTTAGAAGTTAGGCCCAGATTGTTTCCAGGGGCAGGGGTAGATTAACTCCAACCCCACCTAGCCAGGGGGAGCCTCTGACCTAGCAGTGCATCAGCTGCGTCCAGGCCCCACTGGAGGATCCAATGGTTGCTCTTGTGACCTTAACCTGGGAACTCAGGCCCCTGCACGGCAGTAGAAGGGCACCCTCCAAATCCCTCCTCCCAGCCCAATGCAATGGTGAGCCCGGACCCCTAGTGAGGCCTTTCCGCACCTCCTGGGAGGGTCACGTCCTGCCCCTCCGGACCCATGCCCAGAACTGACGAAGAGAGCTCTGCTCTGGGACCCAGTGATTCTCCCCGGCCCCCCAGGCAGAGCGGGGCAGGGGGCAGCCAATTCCAAAGGCTCAGCTGGTTTGTCTTGTGGGGCTGGGCGGCTTCCCAGGGATCGCGGCTCCGCCGGCATGGAAGCAGGTGACCTGAGAGCCAGATTTGGTTTCCCTTGCAGATAGCGTGGTCCGGAGCACAGCAGCCTGCGGCAGGGGGAGCTGAGGGCCCTGGGCCAGTGACAGGCACAGCAGCCCCGCCCCGTCCATCCAGCTGAGTTTAGCTGTGTGGGAAGGAAGGGCGGGAGGAGGGGGCATCAGGACTCCTGGGTTCTACCCTATGGCCAGTGCAGGGGGCTGGACATCAGGTGCCGCTGCTGGCTCCACCCACCTCGCTTTGTGACCCTGGGCAGGTCACTTGCTTGCTCTGTGCCTCAGTTTCCCCCTCTGGGGACTGCAGACAATGTCTGTTGGTTGTTGCGCTGCTGTGGAACGTGACTTCATTTTACCCAGGAAAATCCCTGGCTTGCTGGGCTGGCGTCAACGTGGAAAGGACACACCTTCCTTTACGGCTACGTTGCAATCGCAGGCCCGGGTCAGTCTTGGGAGGACGGGGGGCTGTGAGCCGGGGCAGAACCTTTGTTTTAAATGTGGTTTACAGCCTCCATCCCGAGGCTCACAGAGACCGCCCACCCACCACTGAAATGCAGCCACCTCTGGGGAGGAACACAGCAGCAGTGTCAATTATGGTGGTGGGGAATTACTGAGGCTGGGAACAACAGCCCAAAATGGGAACAGCTGCCACAGGCCACTCCCCTGCAATTCTCTGCTCCAATTTCCCATGTTGGCAAGCCCTGCCCCCCCCC